TTTTTCTCCTTCCTTATCACTTGCATATATTTTGCAAGCAGAATGGCAATGATCCATCGATTTTTGCAACACTGTGTTAGTAAGAGGTCAAATTTAAAAAATTATAACTAGAGTATCAAGAAACTGGCATGGAATTATTCTGCCAGTGAACCATGTCTGAGTTTTTTGTGGTTTGACTGAGCATCACTTAAAAGTAATCTGTACATTAAAGAGATGCTTCTCTGGAATGGCAAGTTTGGGCCCTTCAACAAAAGAATGCTTGTAGAGGGAATAAAAATGTAATGGTAATGTCAAGCCAGGGCTATGGCCATGATTCAGTAATGTATACTGTAGTGCTGTTTTTATTTTTTTAGTTTTGTATGTTGCTCCAAGTCAAAGAATTTGTATCTATAAGTTTTTAAAGATGTATTTTAAATCTTAAATTTCTGTTTTTTGTAGGTGCTTTCTCATGCTTCTAGTGAAGAAGTGGTATAAAATGAGTGATAATAAATTGATGCTGAAAATAATAAGAAATTGCTTTTAATCAGTGCAATGAAATTTAGAGAATAGATTTTCTCTATTTCTTCCCTTGATGTAGTTTGATTTAATTTCCTCTAAATTGTCAATTACACATCTGTGGATTATGGAAGTGCTATTGTGATGCTGTAATTCCCACTGCAAAATCCTCTTGTCCAGGATTTTATTTTAGTTGTATTTTGTTTTGAACAACAACTTGTTTTGCAGAAAGTCGTGCCTAGGAAAATCGTATTCGTCAATATAGTGTTTTTAGGGAAAGATATTATAAATATGTGAACCCAGAAAAAAAGTATCTTTTCTTCATCTGGAATTTAAAAAAATGGATTAATATAACTATTTTTCACTTGTTAATCTGTAGTTGATTATAGCAGTTAATTGAGAGTGGAAAAGAAATTTTACTGGTTTTGCACACTATGAATGTACTTTTTGAAGATTGGTATTATTCCTCATCCTCTAGGACATCATTCCTAGGCAAAGCTGCTATTCTTAGTTAGAGCAAATAATTTAAAATATTTTTGGTTTTTCTATTACTTAAAGTTAGCCTAAGTTCCAGTATGAGTGTGACTATGTTTGGTTATATGGTAATACAGACTATTAAATATACTGCTAAATAGCTTGAAAGAGGTTGTTGGGCGTTTCCTAGGCCATTTTGATGTCTCATAGGAAGGAACTTCTGAGGCCAGAATTCTGTTCATATTGTGTGTGGACATTAAAGCGGGCCATGCCATTTTTTTCCAAAAGTTTATCCATCAAAAGATTTGGAAAAAATATTACTATATTTATATTATTAGGGAAAAAAAAAAGCTTCATTTTTTTCCAGTAAAGCATATGGCAAAAGCAATCTACAGCACTTCTTGGACATTATCAAAATATGCTTTTTGAGATTGCACTTAACTTGCTTCTGGCTCAGGAGTTTGTTACAAAAAAAGAGAAGGCACCCCCTCCCTAATGTTTTGGGAGGGAACAGTAACATAAAGACATCAGACATAAGCAAGGGACAATTTGATGAGAAGGAAGCCAAGGCTGTGTATAAGGAGGATGTTTAATAGTGTGTAAAAATTGACCACTATCAAGAAGCGTGTTGTTAATGAATGAACTTAGTTTAAAGTTTAAAATGAGCCTGATCTGTCAGTCTTCTAAACATTCCCATCACACTAATTCTGATTCCTTGATACTCGTGTGTCCACTCAGAGATGCACACTCGCATACATTCAATTGAAAAAAAATAATCTTAGTTGTGCAAACTTTCAGCGTTGCTTGATTTTAGTATCCCAAGAGAAAGCTAGTGCTTGCTTTAACCCCTAATTTCTTTCTTTGCACTGGGAATTCATCACCTTAACCAATTCTAGATAATTATGCTTTTCTCTTTTTTTTTTTTTTTTTCCATTAAGAAGGAATCTGAACAGTTGAGAGGGTATTTGTTTTGATTTTAATGTCTTGCAATCTGCTGCCACTTTCTGGAGCAATTGGCTCTCTCTTCTGTGGAGATTCAGCAGAAATTTGCAGCAGTTTTTTCTAGTAGTGAGTTAGCAGATGACAACGAGCAATAGGTTTTGGTTTGTTTTTTTACACCCTAAATAACAGTTTTTTTCAAATATGAATTAATTTGTGTTAACATATTGTGAATCTTACAATAAACAGCATTCAGTTTTATGTAAAAATCCATGACAGTATGCATTATGAGTTTAGTTTTATAAATGTTCTGCACCTTCTTGGTAACTGAAGCTATCTAGGGTGTGCAAGAGAGACCTCAGCATTGTGATCAGTTGTAACTGTATTCTGAGCAAGTTCATGTTCTCATATAAATTAGTGGACAAACATACTTCTGTGGTTTATATATTATTTTAAAACTTGCAATTTATCAAGTGATTTTTCTTGAAATTTCTGTGCTTATTAAATTTCAGATTATGTATTTTGAGTAAGATGGAAAATTAAACTTGTTTCCATAAGTATGGCTGCAGGTAAACAACCAATTTTAGTCCAGAAAATAGCTTTTGCTTCTGTCAACATGTTGTTTATTTTCTCCCTGAGATAAAAAGTTCAGTTTTCTGATATTTGTACCAAGATAAAGTCTGTAAACAAGATTAATATAGTGTGGAAAAGGTTGTCAGCAGCCCTGGCAAAGGAAATAAGTTGCCTGTACACAGAACATACTGTAAACTGAATAAAAGTGTCAGGTCCACCATGAGATAATGTGATCATGAACCTCTAACAAAGCATGACATAGGCACAGTCGGCTTTTCTTATAGCCACAGTGTAGAAAATGGATTACTGTATTCCAGGGATACCCACTGGAATAGCATGAAAACCTCATTTTGAGATTAATGCAGGATGTAGCTCTCGAGAGCTGAGCTACATGTTTACCTGTAGTGTTAAAGTAACAGTTTAGTTATTAATCTTAACATTTTGAAATTATATATTAAAATACTTGTTCATATTTCTGGGCATGTCTTTGTGAACTGACATCTCTTGCTCTTATTATTAGGTGATCTGTGACATTGCAAAAGTAATGTTTGGTCACTGTTTTATTATTATCCTCTAGCTATGTAAGACCTCAATAAGTTTAATAAAACAGTAAATTCCAAATGCAGGTAAAGCAGTGGGTGCAGTTCTCCCATGTAGCTGCTATGATTTCCTATACTAGGGATCTGTATGTTTGCATAGGTGTTTCTGCCATAAGGTATTACCAATTCTTTTCAATTGTTACCAGCCAAAAAAGTGACAACACTTTAGGGTTTCTCAAATTGGCCACAAGTGACGTCATTCTTCAGGTCAAAGAAACATATTTGGTCAAATACTTTAACTGCATGGAGCTTTCAAATTATTCAGTGAGTGTTCTTTGAAAGCTTTCCAAACTAGGAGCTCCGAATTCCCTGGCTTTTTTCCAGCACAGGACCAGATGAATAGGGATATTTTTCTTTACAAGTTGTCTGCATTGTTCTTTTAGAATCATAGAATGGATTGGGTTGGAAGGGACCTTAAAGATCATCGAGTTCCAACCCCCCTGCCATGGGCAGGGACACCTCCCACTAGACCAGGTTGCTCAAAGCCCCATCCAACCTGGCCTTGAACACCTCAGGGGATGGGCAGTCCACAGCTTCTCTGAGCAACCTGTTCCAGTGTCTCACCACCCTCACAGGAAAGAATTTCTTTCTAGTATCTAATCTAAATCTCCCCTCTTTCAGTTAAAACCATTACCCTTTGTCCTATCGCTCCACTCCCTTATAGAGTCTCTTCCCATCTCTCCTGTAGTCCCTGAACTCCTTTAGGTACTGGAAGGCTGCCATAAGATCTTCCCGGAGTCTTCTCTTCCCTAAGCAGAGTAGAGGGGCAGAATCACCTCCCTTGACCTGCTGGCCACTCTTCTTTTGATGCAGCCTGGGATGCAGTTGGCTTTCTGGGCTGCCAGCGTGCATTGCTGGCTCATGTTGACTTCTCATCCACAAGCACTCCCAAGTCCTTCTCCTTAGGACTGCTGTCCAGCCATTCTCTGCCCAACCTGTATTTGTACTTGGAATTTCCATGACCCAGGTGTGGGACCTTGCACTTGGCTTGGTTGAACTTCATGAGTTTCGCACGGGCCCACCTCTCAAGGCTGTCCCAGTCCCTCTGGATGGCATCCCTTCTCTCCATGTTGACCGCACCACACAGCTTGGTGTCATTGGCAAACTTGCTGAGGGTGCACTCAATCCTACTGTCCATGTCTCCAACAAAGATGTTAAACAGCACTGGTCTCAGTACTGACCCCTGAGTTTTTTGGTGGGGTTTTTTGGTTGGTTTTTTTTTTTTTTTTTATGGTGCAACAAAGAGAATTTTATTACTTTGTGAAGCATAAAATTGCTTTTTTTATCTGACGTTTACTCTTCAATAAAGAGTAAGCTGCTTTTATTTCTGAATCTTCTGCTTATGTACTTTTGGCAAGCCTGAGCCGTATAAATGTATTGTCACGGAGTTTTTGTGGTCTCCTTTCAAAATTGGTGGATTGTCTGACTTCATTCCCATCTCTGGTCATCTACTGATTATAAAACTCTCTCCAAGGAACTGAAAATGTGTTCCTTTTGAAAAGCTTTACGTTGGGATACAAAGGTTGGGAGTGTTTCTTATTAAATTCATTTCTGTATTATCCGTAAATAAGGATAATATATTGAATACTATTTTCAAAATACCTAACCTTCATTTTTTTGAAGACAAAGCATTTCATGGGCTTTTCAAAAGTAACTTAGGCTTCTGACATCTGCAAATGTCTGATGGCTGACATACAATCAGAATTACACATAAAGGATTTTGGTAATTTAATTCTTATATAGCACTTTCTGGATTCAGACTTCACTTTAAAATTGCTGATATTGCTAATTGCATTTACTGTATCTAGTGTATTGTCTCTATTTTGTATTTAGTATTTGTGATAGATTTTCTTAATAGACAGTCACTGTGTGTATGCTGCCCCATTATTCAAAAACTTTTTTTCCTACTTTTTCCATTAGATAACTCCAGGACCAGGTGGTAACAGGAAAACGGTTCACTTGTCCCAGGATTCTCTTCACCATGAGTGAGTATCAGTGATGGGAGTTATAACTTTTTATTATTGTTTGCTTTACAGTAATATCTCTTTCCCAAAGCCACATTTTACAGCTATAAAAACATGTGATAAGAGTACCTGAGCTCAGTTACATAATGATTTTTAATTCAATAATAATATTTCTTATACTGTGTAATTCAGTTTATGTTTGTTAAAGAAACATGAAGTTCAGTGCTTTGTAAATGTATTTTTATGAACTTGCTAAGTATATGCTTTCCTAAAACACAACAAATATGGGTTGTTTAAAAAAAAGCAGCTTTATTTTTCTCCAAAGAGAAATTCAGAAATGCCAAGCTTGAATATATGAGAATAAATAAGCGTCACATCTTTGAGTCTTAAACATGATGTATCATGTGAGGAAGGAGGTTATGATAAATCACGCTAAAAGATCTTAAATTTATTGTTTGGACATGCGTAAATACAGAATGTCATTTGGTTCATTTAGTTACTTCAGTGTGCCATTACTGTAAACTCTTAATCTGTTCAGCTGACAACATTAGCAGCATTATTTCTTGGTTATCTCTTTTGAATAGTTACAATAAAATGATTATATTTTTCTATACTTTTCCAAATCAGAAATCTAAAACACGAACACACACAATTAGGAAATAATATATTTGGGGATACATTTTTATGTTCTAACTGCTACTAGATATAGCATCCACAGTTTAAAACAGAACATGCCAAATCGTATATAGTACAAAGATCCTCAGTACCAACTGCTTTATGCCACTAATCAACTTCTGTTCTGCCTCATGACTTGCTAGTGTGTGTGTTAACTAGAGAGGTTGTAAGTTATTTCTACCCTGAAGTAATTCAACTGATACTTCAGGGTTTTTACTTTTGTTCATTTTACCAAAACAAATAAACAAAAAAATAATACTATAAGTAAGCAAATGGACAAAATTATTAAAAAACAGTGTCACATGAGTATCACATGGTCATTAAAAGAGGTGTTATTCTTTACAGAGTTTTTAAATATCTAAATATGAGGCACATTCAAATTAGTTTGATATATTTTCTTAATAGAAATACATTTTACAAATAATTTAATCTGTAATCCACTCATTTGCCACAAAGCAGCAGAGCTTATATGGAGGAGGATACCCTAGTTTGCTGCTCCTCCTTGAGCATTTGCTGTTGACACTGGTTAGGGGTAAGACACTAATCTATGTGGAATTTAGACCTAACCCATTGTATTTCTTATCTTCATCAGCTTCTGGATGTTTGTGACCTTATTTGTTGGGTCACTGGCAAATGTGATAGTTTTTCTTTTCATCCACTGCCAACATTAAGTTGTGTGTGCATGAAATCTCCCGTGTTTTTCTCAGATTTTGAACTGTTCAGTGCAATTGATGAACATTTCATGTCCAAAATACATAAATACCTATTAATTTTTATCTCAAAGTCTACTTTCAACTTTATTGCTCTCATTCTTTTTTCATTTCCAACTTTTTTCCCTTAATCATTTTAGGAGTAGAAAAAGGAGTTAGCAGGAGGGAGGTTTCCGTGACAGCTAGTCTTGTATACAAGAATGAGAGGGATGACTTCTCATCAGCAAGCTCACAAAAAATGAGTGAGAAAAAGCCACAAAACTTTCAGATTTGTCACTTTAAAAAAAAAAAAAAAAAAAGTATTTTAGACCAGACAATCCTATGGAATCTGCTTCTTGCATATATAAAGTAAACATTTTAGTGTCATTATGTGGCTACTGTGAGGAAAAATGAGAGTAAACTATAGTGACTGTAATTACTTTGGAAAAGGCATGACTAGGTTGAAGTTATAATCTATGGTTACACTTCTAGAGGAATTTACAAGCATTATAGCAGATAATGCAATGGTCTTTTTGTGCAATATTATAATGGATGGAATTATTTTATCCTTTGACCAAAACTTATTGCTTGCTTACATGAGTAATATCTAGGTACTACATGTAATTTCAGATACCCCTTGGTTTAATTGTTTTTTCCTTCTACTTCTCATTTTGCAAGTGCCAAGATTTGCCCCAGGTTTGTATAGTGCTTACTACAGCTACATTCAGATGTTAATTCAGTTCTATGTGATCACAGTGTGTATGTGAACATGTATTAATACGCTTTTACTGATACTGAGGGAAAAGTCACATTGTGGGTTCTTGTCCCTTCATGTCAACATCTTGGTCCAAATTTTCGTCCCTATGAAATAAGGCTGCCAATAGTCAAAAGTGTACAAATCTATGGAGCTATGAAGCCACTGAATTTACAGGTTTTGAATTTCACTTCAGATTCAAGCTCAGACCTCAGTTTGTGAAACAATACATTAGCAACTACCAGGTAGTCCACAGTACTTAAAAATCTTTTTAGCTATAATTATTAATAAGTAACACTTTAGTGCTGAATATGGAATTACTTTTATTTATAGCACATGCATTATAGTATATTAAAATACTATCATTTATATATTATTTTTGCTTGTTTGACAAAATATAATTACCTATAAAGCAAGTAACTACTCAGAAGTGAAATTTGTGGTGCATTCTTTCAAAACTGTTACAGACATAGAGAGCTCAATAAAAATATCCCATTAAAATAAAGCATAGCCAAAGGCTGTGTTTTCCTGGCAGACAATAAAATACCCAAAAGCACGCACAGGCTGGTCATATGACAGCATGTGCTTTGTTAGTTATATTGTTAAACCTATCTTTTCTTTTTCTCCCACAGCCACTGGTTTAGCCCTGGGGCTAGGAAGGAACATAGCCAGGTAAGAACTGCTTTGATCAAGAACAGTTTACTGGAGATGTGTAAAGGAATTTAACTACCTCTACTCCAGAGGTAGTGGGCTAATATTTTAGGAAATTATAAACAAAGCAAGTATGATTTCATATTTTCTTGTAAGGAAACATATTAACAGTAATGCATTTCAAAAAGTCCCTTAATTAAAAATCTTTAATTAGTTACTTAATTTCAGTTAAGTATCTTTGAGTTTTAACAGGTTAAATGAAAAGTCTGATTACTTTTTTAATTATTTTCTTAATCGTAGTATCTCCAAATGTTGCATTTCTCAAAACCCTGGGAAGAAAAACATTTGACTCACAAAATCAAGAAATACAGAGCAGTGACAAGAGTGGGCAGGCTTCTACAGGAAGATTTTCAATTCCATTTTTCTATATTTCATTAGTTAAAATGACCACAGCACTAAAAATGGAACTGTGAAATCTCCATCATAGTGCAGATATTGAAAATATCTCATAGTTTGTTTACTGAGCCCCTACAATGTAGTCCCCAGAAGGTCTGAGCCTGGAGATGTGGGTGAGGGAATGTGAAGACGTGTTTAATACTTGATTAGCAACATAGCACTTATTTCTTTAGCTTGTCTTCAAACATAGAAGAATACCTTTCTTTATGGATGGTAGTAAGGTCTAAACAGAACATACTGTCCAAGTACTTTATAATGTGAAAAATAGTTTCATTTCATAAATGTATAGTTCAAGTATTCAGTAAAAGTAGCTGAATATATCAGCAATGCATTGAAATTTAAGATTGAAGTTCCACAGTAAATTTTTTAAGGTGGTAAAAATTGATATAACACCATTGATTTCATTGTGCCAATTTGCTAGTACGTTTACAAATTTAAATATATTTGAAACTTTAAAAGGAAATAAGAGGGAGGGTTTGGAGGGTTCATCTTGGAATGATCCATCATGGACACTTGTAGCTCCAGTGAGTCATAGTTTAAATCAGTGTATACTCCTTCCTGTTCCCTTCCCCTTCTTTTGAACTCCAGAGCAAGCTGAATCTGTAAAAGTTAAATTACTTGCCCAAAACTGCCAGAGTGGATAAAATGTTAAAAAAAAAAAGTTTTAGCTGTAAATTGTGAACTTCTAACATGTTACATTAAGCTGACTGACACTTAACATCTTAACAGACAGCTTTATATGATTCACATTTAACTCTCATTATTTTGTAACACATTTCCCAGTAGAAGACAGACGTTAAAAAGAGCATTTTAAATATGAGCATGCTTCGTCTTAATTAATCATGATAAAAAGTCCTCTTGGGTTAATCTTTATCCTCTTCCTGAAATTTTGATGCTATTAGTAGTCAAATTTGCTAGATTAGAATGAGTTTGAGTGATTTTTTTTTTTTAATTGGATTTTTTGATATTGATTATCTCATATAACAGAGTAGTTAACTGAAGATGTACTGTTCACTTCTTTAAAAGATTCTAAGCTTAAAACAGTATGGAAATTTCCATGTTGAGCTATGCATAAACCTACATCATACATACTGGCAATATCCATTCAGCATAGAGTGTGAGAAACATCTGCTTAGCTGGTATGTAATGACAAATCAATTCATCATTTTTCAGATAATAGTAGATTTGAATTAATTTTAAGTTTTACGTGTTTATTTTGTATTTCATAAGAGCTGTGTTTTCAGAGCTTATCTGAAGTTCACTGTATTCATAACTTACAGATAACTAATGAATTGTGAAATAAAGCTAATGTCATCAAATAGTATAGGTGCTACTGGCATATAATGGGTTATTTTTTTAGACAAGTAAAAGAAATGGGAATGATGGTGCAATGTAATTATCACAATTTTGACAGCATATAAAATTCTCACTAAATTTGTGAAGATCCATAGTGTGTAACTATTGGTTGCATGCATTTGCTACTTTCTCTTTTAATTAATTTCTGGAGATGAAGTTGTTATGTTAGAACACAAGTAATTAACTAGCCAAATTTAAAGTCTGGCAGGTGATCTCTATTTGTACATGCTATAACTATAATTTACTTATCAGCTAGAGAATATTGATAACAGTAAGAATGTTCACTTTAGCTTGATCATGAAATAGATATACATTGTATGAGTGTCATGCTGGTTTAAGTTGTGGCTAAGTTTAAATATTAATTATAAGTGCTCTTATTTCTTAAAAATAAGAAAACAAAAAAATTATTTTATCAGAATAAGGCGCTTACCTTTATGTATCCTTCAGATTGCCTTTTAAAACTAGACTGCGCTATTTTTACTGCATCTAAGAACTAGACAGTTGAAATGGCAAGGAGCATTCCTTAGACAAGAAGTAGGCTATAGAGAGTTGGGGAAAAAATAATCAAATTTAATTTTTCCCCTAAATGTTATTTTTTGGAGTCCATGCTCATGTACAACATTAAGTTGTGGTTGGCCAAGTCATAAAGTTCCTCATTTCCTAATTTCCAGTGGACTTCTAAATGCATTTCCTGTGAATATTAGGCCCATTTACCTGGAGTCTGTTTCTAAATAGTCTTTCATTCTATATTTTCTTCAATGTATTTGAAGTTTAGTTTCAGGAAACATTCATATATTTTATGCTGTCTAGTTTTAATGTCTTTAATGAAACTTTTTGACAGTAATTTTTTACTGTTATTTTTACTTTACTCATCCTGACAAATATCATTAAGCTAGAAATAGACTTCTGAATATTAGAGATAGCTTGAATGAAAATTCTTCCTTTATTTGTCTAAAAATAAATAGAGTAGATCAGAGCATGTTCCAGAAGCTGAGTCACTGTTTCGGTTAAATGAATCCTTCATTATTCCTACTTCCCCACTATTATGGGAAGCTTTAATACCGTGTTTTTGTTGATTCTGCAACTTTCAAATTACAAAAGCTCCTGAGGCTTAGGAGAGTTTGTAACTATTTCATAACTGCTTAGATACAAGTGCCAACCTGAATAGTTTTTTGTTGTACAATTTTGAAAATTTAAATTGAAATTGTGGCAATTGTAAAATTTTATGGATACGTTGATTGTGACATTGTGAATTGCATGGCTTTTCTGATATGCTTTGAGAATGATTTAATTTTACATTTTCAATTATTTGAGAATTTTAAGTTGGTAGATAAATCTTGAAATATTAGCTATTCTTGTAAAATTCTATCAGATATCCATCTCTTTTAGAGTCTTGGTTGAAAACTATTGAAAGATTACTCAAGACAGGAAAGAATGGCATTGTCAGGGTAACATTTCTAAAAAGCAAATAAAGGCATTACTTGTGAGACTAATCTGAGACTGTTCTGAACATCATTTTTAATAGCTTCAACTCTTGCGAGACAACCGATCAGAGAGAGGACACAAGAAGAATAGCTCTGTAAAAACAGCTAGCAGGTGAGTTAATGCTCCAGCTGTCATTAATCTAGTTTATGAAATTGTTGATTTCTTAACTCATTAATTTTTATATAAGAAATGACACCATTCTTTTGGGGTATTTTCAGAGGTCTTCCGTTTTTTTGTGACTTACTTTCAAGAATTTCTTATATATGACATAATCTTTGCCTAAAATATAGGTATTGGACTTTATTGATGACTATACCCAACTATACTTGCTGAATTTAATCTATTTAATAAACATCAGAATTAAATGGATGCAAAAGTAAGGTTTGTGCTTCTGGCATGTAAGTTAAATGCTGAAAATGTATAAAGTTACCATTATGCATACATGCTTTTGAATGATGATAACTTAATACTGTAACACTTAAATTGTTCTTATATCACATTTTGATAATAAAAATGTCATTGTGAAGACTTATTAAAAGCAAATTTAGTTGTATCCCCTGGCTTCTTTCCTCCCCCTTAAAAAAAAAAAAAAACAAACATTCAACACTGAACTGATGGGCACTGGTCTATGAGTTTTCCTAGAGGCTTTTTATATATGTGTTACCTGCTTATTTTTTTCTGCATTATTATTATCTTAATCCTAGTATTTTTTTAAAATGAGGAACTGCAGAAATGTATACCTTGCTCTGCACAACACCTTACAGAACTTTTACCTTGTTCTGAACAGTTGACAATATGCTATCAAATTACTTTTTTCATAAAGTTATAATAGATTTCTGTCATCATGTAATAATATGGTTTTGAATTAGACAGTTGTCTTTTAGGCACTGAAATAAGTTATTTATATTGTTACATACTTGCTTAATTCCTTGATGAATTAATGAAATAAACCTGGAAAGGGAGACCAAAACTTCTTTCAAAAATAGGCATATTACATATGAATCTATTTCATTGCATACACATTCTAGTTACAGACTATAAAACATTGGGTATGCAAGTGTTGGTCATTCAGCTTCAGAAATTGTGGTTATCTTTGTCTATTAAACCTTTTATATTAAGTCAAAAAATTTTGAAAATTTCTGCATACATTTTTTGGCAAGCACACTTGTTAAGTCGTATTTTTGCTTAGAATTTTAGAATGAGTTCACTTTAGTTAAGCATTTTCACCATAAATGCACTCTTACTGTCTGTCTCCTTACATGAAACTGAGAGTATAAAGTGGATATAATGTGAGCAGTAATAAACAGATTATATTTAAAGTCATTTTAGGGTCTTCTTTATGCTGTAGCAGTGTAAAATGGTATCTGAAGAATATGGAATCATAACTGTGTTTGTTGTTCTTACCAATAAAGCTCTTTTAAATAAAGCAATCAATGAAGTGAATGCTACCAACACAAGCAGTTAAAACAGTGATTCTTTTAAGTGGCATTAAATACCTGAAGTTATCTTAAACCTCTCTTCATGTCCAATCAGCAATACATTAATAGATTGTTATCCCAGTAAACATCTGGCAGGGTTGTGTAGAAGCAACAGGTGGCAAATCTAAGAGTGAAGACTAGTATTTTCCATAAAATATCTGTAATATTAAAACAGGACTTACACAAGCTATTATTACGATGTACGTAAAAACACATAAAATATTGTAATACCGTTAAAACCAGCAAGGTCACCTGCTAACATGTCATGGTACCACCATCTCTATTTTCCTCCAGATGGAGTCAGGTTATTTCAAATGAGTTGTTTGTGCTTTTTCAGAGAACCACCGCTTTCTCTGCCTACCACAGACACTTTACTGTTAGTTCTTTAAGGTGTTTTGAAAAGAAATTCTTAAACTTCTATGAAAATTATATATTTAGCAGACCATCTGCTGTCTTAGACTACCAAGTCACATACATCTTATTAACAAGATGTATATTGAACAAATTTTAACATTCTTTCTACATTTTAGCTGCTAAAAATAGGAAATTAATTTGCAATATGTGCAAACATTTTTTCTCTCAGGCCAATAGCATGTCTGGTGAGTAGTTTCTTCCTGTAGCTTCAGTGTTCTATAACCTAATATTTTGCTTTTATCAAAAGCTATTACAACCAAAACAAAGATTGAAATCCAGATATATAGGAACACCACCTGACAAATACATAGTTCATATCCTCATATGTTCATAAGTTGCTCTTCTCATTCAGTTCAAGACAATTCCTTTGGTATTCTGTTCCGTACAAATTAAATTCATGGTGCATAGTGACATATGTCAGATTTATCTGTGGTTAATATTGAAGGTTGATTTTGTTATGACTTAATTTTAAATTACCACTTCTACCAAAACAGTTAATCTTAGTTTCACCAGGCAATACAGAGAAGGAAGATTTTTGTGCTTACCAAGTTGCCTATAGAAATTACTGTTCTAGTACCAAATATTGTTCACAGAGGTTCATTAATAAAATGAACACCACCTTAGTTGCAAATGTGCATTCATTACTGTGTATGAAATCTTAAGATGAAAATCTGTCACTTAGATTTTTGCATGTGCCCAAATACTTTAAAAAACACGAAACTACAATGATACCAACCAAATGTCACAAAGTTACAGAATTAAGTGATGTTGTAGTAAATCTTTCATTGTTTGTGTACTTCATGCATATGCAGTTAAGCCTTCTGTTGAATGCAAGTGTTTACTCACACCTGAAAGTCTGAAGTTTTCTAAAATTGACTCTAAATTAGTTCTTGCAGGTGTTAAACTATTGCAGTTGACACATCAAGGTAATTCAAATGAGTAACCCCCTTAAAAAGAGACATACAAAAAGTAATGGCTGTGACCTTATATTGTCTTAATGGTTGTTGCTAAATGAGGTCATAGAAGAGCAGTAGTGAGTAGGCATTGGAAATTCTATAAAATTATTGTACTTATCCAGAATACAGTTTAATCTGCTTTTATTGCAAGACTGAATTTCTCTGGGTTGGTTTTCATATAGTTTTCACACCACTGTATTTCTTTTTTGTTGGCTTTTCTGGAATACCTTTTTTTCTGGCTTTTGTATGTACATGCGATGTGTATATACAGATTTTTCTGTGCTTGCCTTGAGTTTTCTTACCCCTTTTGGATGACTGAACACAGTTCTTGTCTCAGCATGTAGACAATATGTAAATACCCATATTACATTAGATCAGTGACTTGTGGAATAATTTACTCTGTAAATACATCAGAAAGGCGTGGAGCAATAAGCATGGCAGTGGTCTGTGGCTATCTCTTCGTGGTGGAATAATACTGATACTTTCTGGGTGAGCTTTACTGTACTGGGTTGCTTGTATTAGGCTTCTTCTGTCAAAATTAATAACAATGAGCCAATCCTATGTAAGCTAACACAAACTTTTATTAGTGGCAAGATAATTAGATTGTTGAGAGCTATTGATATGGGTGCTGGTGAATCAAATGTTAGGGAGGGGGACAGTCCTGCACCACAAAACTTGGAACATGGGTAGATTGTATTATGCTGATAGAGTTCAACACATGATCTTCTGTATTCAACACAAATATATATATATATACAAATTTATTCTACCTTTACCAATAAGCTGTAATTTATAAATATGTAGTTTTCCCATTAATTATGTGAATTATATAAACAGTACTAAATAATTCTGCTTTAGAAGCTGCATTTATTTCTCCAGTATAGCCTTGAAAGTTCCCTGTTTACTTTATCTCTCTGCATTAGGACAGGAACAGTCCCCTCCCCAGTCCAGCTACACTGCTCAAAGTTGTTAATTCTTCCTGCTGCTTGTTTTCAGCCTCTACTGTTTTTTGCCAGTAAAGAAGGTTGGTTTTGTTTGCATTTTTTAATACCCTTCAGGCAAAACCAGCCTGGTTAGCTAAACTCACCTATTTAAATTAAATTGGCTGGTTTTGTGCAAACCATATTAGGGAGCGCTCACATGATTTCTTCCTCCGGCAGAGCTGTGGAGATGATAATCTCCAGCAGATGTGTGATAACAAATAGCTCGGGATAGTAATGTCTTCATCTGGCGCAGTTGTTAGCAGACCAAATGTCTGTCTGTAGCCCCAGGCTGTGGGCAAACAATTGAACATGATTGAGTTATGGCGAGTTAACAAGTTGCTGCTTGGCAGCTGAACTGCCATAGCTGATCATCCCTTCGTTGTTTGCCTGCTCCCAGGATAAGGTAAAACACATTTTCTTAAGTCACCTTTGTAAAATTTATATAAAAATAAGTTCTACCCAAAGGAGGTTCCCCAAGGCTAAAGGATTCATTTGGTCAGCTGCGGAAACAGCATTGAACGATATTTTGCTGAGCTGCTACAACGTGATTTTGAACATGTGATCATATTGTTCAATATATGAGGGACGTCCATCATACAACTGTCTGCCTGTCTCTTAGTATTTAATGTATTTATCCTTGCAATACCTTATGAAGTTAGGAAGTACTTTTATCCTCATTTGATGGAATAACCAGAGTACTTAAGAAATTCAAAATTTTGCCTTTGGTCTAACAGTTGGTGCTGAAACAAGTTAATTTATGCTGTAATCTAGAAACAACAGAATTGCAGATTGGGAAAACAGCAGACCAGTGAATAAGTTAAACATATAATTATTTTCTTTGCTATACATAATGGTCTTGTATCATATTTTTTACAGTGTGCTTCTGCCAAGTATTATTAATTATTTTATCTATACACTTATTTTTTCTTATTGTAGTCTAAGTAGCATTTGACACATGCATGAATTAAGAAACTGAAAAGGAAACAGTGCCAGAATTTTGCTGCTTACCAATTTTTTTTGGTCGTATCTTGATAATTCCATGTTGGTTTTCCACTCTCAAATGCTCCCTCAGAGATCTTTAGAGGAAAAATAAAGCTATTTGTAATTCCTATGTATTTCAGTCCTGGCTTGAGAGAAGGCTAAGCCATACTCATAAAAGTGATTTCAAGTTTGTGTGGAATTATAGAAATTTGGTTTCAACTAGCTAACTAGCTAGCCAGTTTAGCAGCAGCTTAGTATGAAGTAGTTCACCACTTCTTGTGGCTACAAAATAGACCATA